GGAGTCAGTAGCACTGAAAGCATCACAAAAAGCTATTTAACACACTACCAGTCATATGTAGGAGGCTCAACCCTTTCACTCCCACAAGTGACCAAGACAGAATTTCTCCTTACAATATCAATACAATATCAAGCAGGGAAGTGATGAGAATAGAGAAGAATGTCAATCATAGGATTATTAGTTGATCCAATACCAAATTCTCTGAACTAACATCATAAGAATTGTATGGCGTATAGTAAGGAGAACTACTAATTAGATCTTGGGAGTGAAAGGGTTAAGCAGCTAAAAAATTAAAAACAAACAAACAAGAACAATCTTGAAGACAAAAATATCTGATATGTTTCAGAGAATTGACAAAAAAAATATTAAATGCAATTTTCTATAAACAAAAGTGAAATGACATGAAAAAGCAATACTGGTAAATTTGATTTTGCTTTTTTAATCTTTTGTACACAGCAGTTCACAAAGAATCTTACACATGCAAACATCACTTGTCAGAAAATATCACACACTCAGGTGAATAGTGCTTTTCATGTGCACTGATTCCTTTGTTCAGAAGAGATCAGCAAGTAATATTCACTGCCAAGCAGGTGAAGAGACAAAATTAATTTCAACCATTTTTCATTATATTGACAGAAATGAACTAATTTTTTTTGGTTTCTGTATGGTATATATCAAAACAAGTATTCACCAAAGTGTTGGTGATCAATATTGGTGGATATTAACTGAGCCACAAAATGGCAAGGTAAATATCCACCATTGTTCACCTCACTGAGGTGAAATACAATTGTTAATTATTTGTTTTAATTATGTTAGAAAGAGAAGGAAAATGTAATAGGAATGATATGTTCAGTTCATTAAGAATTTGTTTATTAAAAGATCAAATACAAAACTTAACTGCAACAACAAAAGTGGAAGGTTTTTTTTCAAATCACTGCTCACCTGAATTTTCTGCTGCCTTTCTTCAAATTCCTCTGGAGAAAGAACTTCTTCTGCTACTTTGTTTATTGTATTGTCTAGCACCTGGAAGGTCAAACAGAAAGCTTAGCACTTACTCATTATCATAAGATTACAATTAAATTCTTGTCTCTGATATGCAAAATACAGGACATGTCACAGAAATGAAAAAAAAATTGTTTACATGTGAATAAGAATTGAGTCATTGAGTAAGTTCATAGAGCAGTTCACTGATAAGAGCACAAAAATATGCATGTTAAACTTGTAGAGAATGCATCTAGACCTGACACAGACTGGTCTTGACAGACAAGCAAATACATCTCAAGTACAGTGTTTAAAATCCACCCCTATTCTAGGATGTCACAATCTGTCAAAACATGACCCTTAAATAATGTGAGAAAGTCTTATAGAATACAATTCACCTTCACTTTCACTAACTGTGCAAGCAAAATTGAAGAGGTGGAGAGAAAAAAAAAGCCTTAAATGACTTGTGATGAACTAAAAGATTCTCCTTCCACATTGTTTTGTATTACCTCACAAAAAAGAAAGAAGAAGTTGGTGTTCCATAAAAAATAACCTTAAGGCTCTTTTCTAATCAGCCGTCCAACTAATAACCCTTAGAACCCTAAGAGTAACAAGCATCTAATTTCTCCTTACAATATCATCCCTGAATCACACATTAAGGTCATGAAAATACAGGAAATAATCACTGACTAAAGAAGCCCTTCTGATTGTTCAACAATTTCTCCTTGTCAGCACTTTAGGAAATGTAGAGCAAACAGTATGGAGAATATGCATACTGATGTTCGGGTGTAAAGGATTCACTCACCTTCACTGGTACAGCAGACTTGAGTTGAGCCTTTGCTCTACAGTCTTTTGAATGACTAAGTAGAAACAAGAAAAATAATAATGGGGATTGTTTCCTTTATTCTTGCTACTTAAATGTGTGATTTAAGGATGATATTGTAAGGAGAAATTAGATGCTAATCACCCTT